CGCTCCAGCCAGCGGAAATCATCCTCAAAGCCAACGGGAGGGAAGGAGGCGAATAAAGAGGCTCTCCTCCCCGGCCCTGGCCCTGAGTTGCGAGCTGGAGGAGGAGAATGCCGGCTGCTGCCCCAACCCAGATCCCCCGGCAAGCTGGGGGTGGGGTGGGAGTGGAGCGGCTAGTGGGACCGCAGATCTCTCCGCGGAGGGTGGGAGAAAAAAGACTGGAATGGGAGGCGGCAGGACAGACAGACAGCCTCTGCACCTGGACCTGGCCTCTCCCGCATTTCCCTGCCGCAGGCTTCCTTTCGCCCCAGGGTCTCCCACTCCCATGGCAGGGACTTCTAACCCGTGCCTTCATTTTAGATCTTCGCCCAAATTAAAAATACAAAGATAAAGGGGAAAGAAGGAGAAACTCCTTGCGGGGGTGACAGAAGCAGCAGAGCTTGGGTGGGAAAGGAGGGGAGTGGAAGAAGCAACTCGGAAATCATTATCTGTTGGTTAAAACCTGCCTGGGGTAAAATTTCAACTCGATTTTATAGCCTTCTATTATGACGCAAAGAAAAATTTACGACCCTCGCTTGAAAAGAGGGCCGGGGCCTTTTCTCACCAGTTTAAGAATAGGCAGCAGATGCCGTGACAGCGACCATTGTTCCCGGTAGACACAGGCGATCGGGCAACCTCGGCCCGCGTGCGCCAGGCGCGTCCCCCAGCCGGGCGGGTTTTTTACAACTCCTGTTGTGCCGGAGCAGCCCGCACGCACCCTCGCCCCCTCGCCCCCTCGCCCCTCGCACACCCCCACATGCTCACACACACACACTCGGCCGCTCTCAGTAATTTTTCATAAGTGCAAAGCTTTGCTGAACCAAAGGTCACCATCCAAGCCACTAACAACTTCTCGCCGGCGCGCGGTTCCAAATCAGGAAGCAAAGGGAACTATTTGTCAGCGGCCCTGACAGCTAAGTTCATTAAGGATTTAAATCTGAAGAAATAAAAGTCGCCAAAATATTTACCTGCTGGCCGCGCTCCCGCGCCCGCCACTGGGGGCCGAGGGTGGAGGGCTGGGGGCGCCGCGCGGCCCCCCTCGGCGGGTGATATTCTTGGGATCCCTGCACTTTCCAAGTCGGAGAGAGCCCTTTGCGTGGCAGATTAATGACGACTCCGTGTTTCTTAAGGGACGTGCTGAATTAATTATTTCGCCAATCACGTGGTCGGGACTTGTAGAAATCTATTCTTATCATCTTCCTCGCACTTTGAAAATTCTCCGGGTTATGAAAGGCCCTCCCCCGGCTGCCGGCGAGCCCCGGCCGCCCAGCCAGGCGCGGGGGGCAGGGAGGGCTCCCCAACATGGCGGGCGGGCGGGAAGCGCCGTCTGCCGAGGGTCCCGATTTACTGTACTGTACTCAAGCGGGCTCGGCTATGGACTCGCTTCCTCCTCGTCCCTGCCGGTGATTCAATACACACAACGGTATTGATGTATTGGTGGGCACAGGAGGAGCCATTAACCAGAAGACGGGCAGAGGACAATCATAAAATGTGTCTGAATATTTAAACTTCTGTCTGCACACTTATAAATACACATGTCCACGCGTCTGAGGCGAGCCCTTCCATATATTAAGGACACATGTCTGATTTTATGCATTCTGCTCATTTCCTGTCGCGAGCAAGCCCCCCCCCCCCAGCTATTTTGGGACTCCTGTCTTGGCCCACTCTTCAAGGCGAGGCAAAGACGAGAGAAAGCCCTCGCGGAAAAAAAAAAAATAGCGCATGCCACTTTTTATAGTGGGGAGTGTTTATTGTCGTCTGGAGGGCAGAGGGGGCTCCAGGGAAAGGAGGGGCAGGTGCTGGAGGCCCCAGTGGGGCTGAATAGCACAGGAAAAGTAGGAGTCCCAAGATTGGAGGCCAGAGGGGTCTGGTCCTAGTAGACACTGACTGGCCAGTCCCAGCTTGGCCCAGAACCCAGCACTCTTCCAGAGTTGGGGTGGGGGGTCGTGCAGGGAAGTCTCTCACCCACCACAAAACAAAGAGAGACTGAAGGGGTCTGGGGCTAACCCGGGCCACACAGAGAGCCAACCTGGAGCCTCCTTTTGGCCTAGGAAGTTACTTATTTTCCTTTCAAAAAATAATGCCCTGCAGCCTGAATCCAAGCTTAGGCTGCCCAAGACTCACAAAATATGCTGGCCAAATTGGGAGTGTGTATGTGTGGGGGACAGGTCAATGACAGATTTGCTAACCCTTACACAGTTTAACCTTCACATGTCAGGCACAATGCAGAAAATAATAAAATAAATGGTTTATATTGAATGTTAGCTTCTGGAAGACTTAATGAAGAATGCTTCTGTGGAGGCACCAAACAGGATGGAGATTTCGCTACACCTTTTATTATTTCAAATATAGATCAATGAATTACATCAAAACTACAGGCAACAATTAGTATAAATAATACTTTAATCAGTGGCAGCAGAACATTGGTCAATTCTATTAAAAAAGCATCTCGTGTGAACAGACACCATGGGGCTGACTGACAATGTCATCTCCCAACAAAAGGCTGCAATGGACAAAGTGAGATGGGAGTCTGAGGAGCAATGTCCTCAGTAAACACTTCACTCCTCCCCAGTCACGACCCCAACACAGCTTTAAAAACAACAACAACAACACCACCAAAACAAACACTTCTGGCTCATATTTGGGGGAACAAACTGGAAACAAATAAAAGCAAATGGGCACTGCTCCTTTCCACATCTAGGTCTCTCCAGAGTACGTTCCCAGATGGAAACTCATTTCCTTCCCTGCCCTTTGGTGGTGGTGGTTGGGGTGGGGGGAGGCACTGCTTCTTCCCTGCCCCACTCCTGTGGGCCCAAATGGACGCTGGGGTCCAATTGGGACCACAGGGTTGAGGGCTGCCCCCTGGGCCATCCAGGCTCCATTAACATTTCAAAAGACAATCCCTGGAAACTGAGGAGAACTGAGACTTATAAACAAAGAAGTTGTTTCTCTGATTAAGTTACTTTTCAAAGTAGTGAAGCTACGTTGGAGAAGGAGCTTGGGTTTTCTTCATCAAAACATGCCTCTTGGCTTTCCTCTGGGGCATGGCTGAAGGCAGCTATGCAGTTTTGGCATTTGGTCTGAAGCTGGGGTGAATAACCTGAACTTCTGGGAAGGGGGAAATCTATATAATACTCTATAATATATATGTAATTGGGTGTTGTGAAAATATATACTTTTTCCCCCTCCCAAGGAGAATGTTCAATATATTCACAGATTTGGGCCTTAGGAAAGAATCTTAGCAACTTTCCAACTTGCCTAACCATAGCGGCTCTTTTCAAATGCTACATCCAAAGACTGCTCTCCATGTTAGAGAGGGAAAAAAAGAAGAGAAGGGTAGTTAGAGTCCAAAAGGTTAAGGGTTTAGAGGTCAGTCCTCCCAGCTGAAATACAGCTAATCGAATAGAAAATTTGTCCTCTGGATGAACCTGATTCTGTAATTTAGCCGAACTTCAGTAAAATACCTTTTCAGCTTCTCAACGTGAGGGCGTCAGAAAAAAGACGTCTTGACTATGTATGGACTCTTTGCTTTTTGTCATAGAAACAATGATGCGAATAATGCAGGAATATCCATCTTTAATATCCCGACGTGGCGATATTCAAGTATTGCCATGTGCAAGTCTGAGAGCCAGGCTCACCCCAAGGAGGAACAAAGAGCTGTCCCCAGGGTCTAATACAAAAGACCAAGGCTTGGAAGATACTTTAGAGAAGTGGAATTTCAGCCTAGGGACTCCAGTGAATACCTGCTCTCAGCTCTCAGGAGACACCAAAGAACATGCGTGCAGAAAAACTTTTTTTCTCCCTCCACCTAAATATATTTACCTAAATATATTTTAAAAAATTACCTCCACACCTTCTAAAGTGTTCTGAAGCACTAAAAAAAAATAGCTCCAGTTCTGAATCTCTCTTTCAAGCTCATCCCTTTCCCCCCCACCCCCTTTTGTCACTTTTCCGTAGCTACAACCAGGGGTTTCTTTTTGGAGCCCGAGGCTTTGGGGTTTAAACTTCCAAAGTCTTGTTTCATTTGAGTATATGAACTCTGGCGATTACCTTTGACTCTTTCCCCCCTTATCCTTAAGGGTCAGCATTTTAGAAAAATGAGCTTTGAACCCTTCTCAGGCAAGGCATAAGAAAAATGACTGAAGAACATCACTCTTGTTGTTTGAGAGTGATTGTTCTTAAACCACCATTCTTTAAGGCAAGGAAGAGGGCCTGAAACTTTTATACTTTTACAATTTCTGCTTCTAATTCATGTCTTGAGAAAAACTTCCTTACATCTGTTTAAAAAATAAAAACTTCGGGGAAAAAAAAAACCCTAAGACCAACTTTTGTGGACTTCTAGATTCAATTAGTTTTCTCTCTCTTTTTTAAAGCAAGATTCCCCTACTTTCCCACTTTCTCCCCACTACACACCCCCTCTCCCATATAGGCCGTACACCAATTCCTATAAGAAAACCGCTCTATGGGTTATTTGGAATCCAGTTGGAACAGAAAATTCAGTCATTATCTAATGACCCAGAACATAGAGGTTTTGTTTTCTTTCCCCAGAAGGAAAAATGTTGGACCATTTGTTTCTTTCTTTTCCCTTTTCTCTAATCACCCAGAACTAGTTGTAAGCACAGTGCTGAAAAAAGCACATATGGAAATATATTTTCAAGAACTCAACTCTGAGTGGACCCTTTGCTTCCTTCTAAAAGGGTTAAGGGCCCCCTACACACATTTCCGGGGAGTGGGGAGGGGGGTGGAGTTCAAAACGCCGGTTAGAGCCAGAAGTTAGTCCACGCATCTCTGATTCTCCTCCCTGAAACTCAGCCCCTTTCACCCTCTCAAGATTTTTGGCATTAAGATGTCAGTTATTTCTGTTCCCCATCCCCCAACAAATAAATACTTAAGCAAATATAATCTAAACATAAAATAACCCGTTTCCACTTTCTTCTTAGACTCATTTCTTTGGGCATGGGGCCACTGGGAGCAAAATACTTTTTCTCACACTGGAAATTGTACAGATAACCCAGAAAGTTCGGAAATCCTGGCCCAGCTCTCCTGTTTCCACTGAAAGCACCTAGCACAGGGGTGGCCAACCTTCAGCCTCAACTCCCCCACATTATTAAACCACAAAGATCCCTGGAGGGGTGGGGTGGGGGAGGAGGTTCAAATTCACGCTGGGATAAAGTATCCAACCTTCATTTGCAAATTCAAAATCCAACAGCAGAGATTTTCATAAGTTTAATAACTCGCCAAGGTTTATGTTCTCAGTAGCTCCTGCCATATGATAATGTACTCAGAGAGAGAATCCCGCCCCCCTCCCACCCCCATCCCGCTCCAGGGAGGGGGCTGCCCTCGGGCAGGAGGCTAACCTAGTCCGAGGGCGGCCTGCGTGTCCCAGGTCCACCCCACAGTACCTTAGAGCCCAGGGAGGTGACAGCAAGCCCGGCCTGCCCCCGCAGCTTCGGCTCAGCCGGGAGCGCAGGGAGGAACGGGCCCGGGGTCCCCACGTCTATAAGGTGGTCAGGTCCGTGTGGTGGTCCTTGGCCAGCGGCTGCAAATGTTGGCCGGGAGCAGCTGAGGAAGAGCAGGAGGAGGAGGAAGAGGAGGACGACGAGGACCTGCCTTTGGTGTTGGGCAGCTTGTGGTCTTTTTTCCACTTCATCCTCCGGTTCTGGAACCAGATCTTGATCTGGCGCTCGGACAGACACAGGGTGTGGGCAATTTCAATCCGACGGCGCCGCGTCAGATACCTGTTAAAATGAAATTCCTTTTCCAGTTCTAGGACTTGCTGCCGGGTGTAGGCCGTCCGGGATCGCTTGGGCTCCCCGCCAGTGTAGTTGGGGTTCACTGCGAGACAAAACGCACAGCACGGTCAGGTCAGCTCCCAGCCACTCGTTAGGCCCCTCGCCACTGCCGCTCACTTCCTGGCGCGCCCCGAGGCCCCGCGGCCCTCCCCGCACACTCCCCAACCGGCTCCCGTCCTCCCTCCCGCCCTCCCATCGCCCCTGCCCCGAGCGCACGCACGCACACACACACGCGCTCACTCCCACCCACCCTCACACCCACCAACTCCCCCAGGCTCCCGGGCGGGGATCCCCAAATGTGCTCCCATCTCCCCGGCCTGGCCGCCAGCTCCAGAATTCCCCAGCATTTAGAAATCCCCCTCTCCTCTACCAGGTTCCCTCCGCTCTGAAAATGGAGTCCTCCCCCACCCCACCCCCATCTCCACCCCCTTTTTCGCCCACAGCCAAGCAGCCAGCCACATGGTCCCGGCCTGCTCCCTCAGCTATAAAAATTTATGGAGAGAGTAATTGCGGCGCCCATTGAAGCCCCACACGCCCCCACCCACCCGCACCCCCTCCCAGGGGCCCAGGCCTCCAGGCTGGGGTGGGGACTGAGAGGCCGCTGGGCTGTGCCTTACCCGAATTCACGTGCACCTTCTTCATCCACGGGTAGACCACAGCGGGCTGCTTGAGTGCCGTGCCGGGGGGCGGCTGCTTGGGGCCGCCCGGCTGGCTGCAGGCCCGGGCGCTGGGCAGGGGCGCGGGCGGGGGCGCAGGGGGCGCGGGGCACGGCTCTCCTGGGGCTCCGTAGTGGCCGCTGGGGCCACTGGCTTCTTGCCCGTGACCCCGTGTGGGCAGCGCGGAGCCGGGCCCAGGGCCGCCGCCTCCGAAGGTCTGCTCACCGAAGTCGGGTCGTGGGTAGAGCCCCGGGGGCTGGAAGTCTGCACCCTGCACGCCACCGCCGTAGTAGTCGGCGCCCTGCTCGCCTAGGTAGCCGCCCTGCAAATATTCCTCGCATGGAGGGAACTTGGGGTCCACATACTTGGAGTTCACCATATACGAACTCATGGCCATTAATTTCAGAAGGTAGAAAATACTAATTTTTCTCGTGTTGTCTTTTTTTCTCCTTCCATAGGGCCCTCCTACTTGCTGTCAACTGAATAAAGTTGGCGGCCATGTGACCAGGCCAGCCAATAGCGAGGGAGCGAGTTTATCACCGGGTTGGTGAGCATCTCATAATTTTCACAAATTTAACTAAATAACATACGTGTAATCAAGTGACTCGCCATGGCACATTTGAAGGCCCCCACCAGATGTTAATGCAGTTCTCTAATCCCCAGCACCCTCATTCCTGGCAGGTAATCCCAGCTTTTGTCTAACACCGACTTTGTTAACCTCGAGTGCCCTCTCCACGCACCCCCACCTGAAAACAGCCCCCCAAAATGGGCACAGTTCAATGGGGGGAATGAAACCCCAAATCTGTCAGGCTGCAGAATACCACCAGGCGGGTGGGTGAGGCAGCCTCTGAGTTAGGCGGAGTACCCCAGGCAGGCAGGGCTCCCGCCCGCGGGAGCGGGGACTCTGCCATACAAAGGCCGAGTCCTGGCTTTGTCTTCGTCAGGGTCACCCAAAAGTTACAACAATCTGGCTGGCCTGAATCAAATCAGGCAATGAGTAACTGCCAAGCTTTCTGTGAGTGCCCAGGCTGGAGTGTTTCTAGCCCAAGCCGGTCTTGCAGGTATGGCAAGACTGGTTACCCGCCTCCCCACCCCCAGCTCATGCAGGTGAAGGGTGGGCCTGGAAGGTGGTGATGGCACCCCCACCTCACCCAGATGGGCTCCAAAGGACCCTGCACTCCTTCTTCCTAAATGGCCTTCTTCCCACATGGCGATCAATGACCAGTGAGCCCCCTCACTGGGCACCCTCTGACCTCACCTCACACTCCTTCAGGGCAGAATTGGGGTTTGGGGGCCTTCCACCCTGCTCCCCAGTCCCCCAAAAGCTAGCCCTTTGGCCTCGCATTCATGCAACCAATTAAGAGTTTACACGGGAGCCTCTGCGGGGCTTCTCGAGGCAAAGACTCCACTAGGGCACCAGGCTCAGTCCATCCTCCTGGAGTCTAAGGTAATAAAACAGAAAGAAAACTGACCGGCGCCCGGCTGCCTCTGGCCTCTGCTTCCGACTATGGCTATTTCGGAGAAATGTGAAGTTTTTGCATCGACCATATATTCCCCTAGAATCGAATCTGTGACTATGTGGCTACCACACAAATTCGGTTCTACAGGGTATATATAGACAACGTTACTAGCTCCGGGTTCCACCCAGAGTGGGTACCCAGACCGCTGGCAGCCCCGGCCTCTTCCTCGGAGCCATCACCAGCCCGACGCAGCTCCTCGAACTTTCAGAGAGGGTTCAGGTAGCTTGGAGTAAGCTTGGTGAAAATCTGCAGCAACGAGTTCCCCATCCTTGTACCAGGGCTGGCGTGACTGAGCAGCCAAGGAGAAGGGACAGTCTTCTTAAGAAAGAAAGACAAGAAAAGAAGAAAAAATAATCCATCCCGGAAATGGCGGCTTTATTACCCCCCCTCCAGATCCAGATAAACCCCCCCCCCTTATCAAGTGGTATTTTCCTGAAAGGTGCAAACGCCCTCAGTGGCAGAAGAAAAGACGCAAGAGGGGAATATCCTCCACCCATTCTTTTTTCCCCAGTGCGGGGGCAAGCCAGGTTGGCTGACAAAGCTCATTCTCCCAGAAGTCTCACATTTACCTTCCTGGGCCCTGTGTCGGGCTGGCCGCTCTGTCCCGCTGCTGCAGACCCCGCGGCAGGCACTGCTTGCAGGCACCGAGCTGCCCTGGGCTAGGGTCGGCGCGCTAATGGTGAAGGGCAGGGCGAGGGGTCATTCGAAATCATTTACAAACATATCACAAAGTTTCATTATTTCTGCTTTGCCGACAGCAGCACACAAGAGTACAAAAGTTCAGGAATTGCACCCGCCCCAGCGCCTCAGCGCCGTCTAGGGCTCAACCCCCGGTTTGGGGCACGAAGAACACAGACACACTCAGGGCCCGATGGGCTTCAGGGGCAGAAGGATGCCCGGGCTCAAGAGGGGCTTTTGGATCTCTGACCATAGGCCAGAGGTGTTAAAAATTTTGATTGTTTTGATTTTCTCCCTTATGATTCAAAAATTAGTTTCAGCCTTATCCTGGATCTGGTGGGGTAGAGCAGGGAAACTCTCCTCTGTCCCCCAGCCTGGCAAAATTGGCTCCTTGCTTCTACTCTGCACTTTGGACACTCCCCACCCCACCCCCTCCATCCTTTGGTTCCAGGGCTTCTCTATTTTGTAGGAATTTCCTGGGTATCAAATCTAAGGAGAGTCTAAGGCTGCCCCACACCAAATTCCCTTGTTCAAGGTGGGGGGTTCCCCCTTAACTTCCCCTAATGCCCAGCGCTCCCACACACCCACCTGCCTGGGGACACTGGGCCTAGGCTTTACCCACACAAATTGGGGGAGGCTGCTGGGCTGGGTGGGGACCCGGGTGAGGGTACACATTTTCATATTTGTTAGACGCTGTGACCTGCATTTCACCTTACTGCTCCACTTGTTCAGACAGGTCAAAGCCAACGAGTTATTGATGAACAAAAGCGTTAAATATTCACCTCCCGCTCAACTGCCCATACAAATGCTTTTGATCTCTCTCGGGCTTTTTGTGCTGTGTTCAGCTACAGGGTGCCGAATGTGGGTTTGCAAGCGAGGAGCACTGGCAGAGATAAGCACCCAGAGCAGGGGCAGTGGCAGGAAGGGGGCAAAACCAGGGTGTCCTGGGGACACCAGATTTTCCAGCCTGGAGCCCAGAGCTGGTTTCATTTGGGCCAGCCTGATTAATAGAGGGGAACTATGAACTGGGCAGAATCTCCACTTCTGGGGAGGAACACAGCCCCCAGGAAGTCAACTAGGCTGCCCACCCTGGGAGGGCAGAGAAACCTGGCCCAGAGCCAAGCCCTAGCGGAGGGGGGGGGTCTTCCACCCTGGAGAAAGGGTGTCTCACCAGAGAGCAAGCGTGCCTGGCTTCTATCGCCCTCCTACATTCCATCTCCCATTAAAATAATCTCCATTTTGCAGTGAGGGAGGCGTCACTGTTTCTTCCTTAATTCTTCTGCCACTACCATCACCTTAATGAGATAGTCTTCCTGGAGATTTCACAGGCCGCCTCAGAAATGTACCTGTCTTCCGCGGCACAGGCAACTCAGAAAGATCCAAACTTCTGAGCCCAGGTCCCCAAAAATCTCTGCCCCCCACCGCAGCCCTACCACCACCACCACCACCACCACCACGACGTTTGCCTGGAACACTAGAGGCTCTGGCGCGAAAATTCTCGAACTGCAGTTCCAGAGGAGCAGAGGTGAACCAGAAGGGTCGTATCCCTCCCGCCTTGCTCAGCCCTTGTCCCCAGCCCAGAGCCCAAACCTCTGGGGCCGGGGCGGGGGAGGGGCGGGGAGGGATTTCCACCTAAAGCTCAGAATTCGCAGCCCTTCCCGGAAGCGGACCAACTCCACATACCCGCAGCCGTAGAGGGTTACGTTTTTCTTTCTTCTTTTTTATTAAAAACAAAACAAGAGAAGAGAAGGTTGGGCCAGGCTGGACCGGGTTAAGCTAGGCTGGGCTGAGGAGGGGAACCGCGTTGATGCGGCGTTTAGCAGGCTGGTTCGAGCAGAAAGCGATGCTCGCCGAAACTTGTTAATAGGGCGGGCTGCTAATTAGCTGCAAGCTCTTAACAGAAGCGCAGGGCAGCAGCGGAGCTGCACCTGTGCGAGCTGGGGAGGCCTGGAGAGGCCCAGGAGACAGGGGCGAGAGCCTGCGGTGTGTTCTCTTGGTTGGGTGACTGTGAACTAGGCCCCAGAAAATCCATCCAGGAGCACAACTTAGAGCCTCCACTCCCAAAGAGAGCTCGCCTCGCACCGCCAGGCCAGGGCGGCCCGGGCCGCCCTTCCACCCGCCCAGTCTTCTGGCGCGGCCCTTCCGCCAACACCGCCCCAGTTACCAAGACCGCCTCTTCGCAGTTCGGAAGAAACGGGAAGGTACTTACAGCGGCAGTCTCTCACGGCCCCGAACCTGTTGCAATGAAAACGGGGGTCACTTAAATTCCACAGGATAATAAAGCAGAGATAGAGGATACACAGAAAAATGACAAGGCCCAGGCACCCCACCAATACCCAGACCTCCCCGCTTCGGGTGCCGCCCCCAGGAACTGCGCCAAGTTCTCCGCGGAGCGCGAGACCGCAGTCCTCAAGGGCAGACCCGGGCAGGAGGAGAGTATGGCCCCCGTCACCTCCCCCACTCCATGCACCCTTGGGCAAAACCTTACTGGTTGCCTGGCCCGACTCAGGCTGCCTGTAACAGGGTTTCCCCAGTGGGAAAACGGGAAGCGAGGAGAAAATGGGCCTTTGTGTGTTTCCTTATGCACAATCAGCCGGGTGGGCGCAAGTCCACTGGGGAGGGGGCAGCCGCTGCATCTGTCCCCTGCCCCACTCCCCGTCTGCCTCGCGCTGGGAGCAATTCAACCCCCTTTCCCAGTTTCAGATTGGTTTCAAATTCCCCAGCCCCAGCTAGCGCCCCCAAAACCTGTCTTCTTTCCAAAGAAGGGCCAGGCATGACTGGGACTTGCCTTTCCACTTCTCCAATTCAAAACAAAGAGCAATTTCCAAGGGAAATGAGGACCCAAATGATAACCAAAGGAGGAGGAAAATCGATGGGTTTGAAGGTAAATGGCAATGCTTTAGATTGTTCTGCAGCTCTCTGGAAGTGACAGCATTTTGTCAAGCATTGCTACTGGAGAGGCCACAAAGCAATCTTACAGAGCCGTACTCCTCACAGGGGCTGGTGTCCAGCTTTAAGTTTTCATCTATCCTAGGATGGCAGTCTTCCCTGAGAAATCGCAGAGGCAAAGCCCTCTCCATCCTCATCCTTTCGCCCCTCCCCCCCTCCCCCACTCTCGCGCTCTCTCCACCTAGGCTACCACTGTGTAATTCCACGTCTGAGGCAGATGCTCCATTAGGAGCAGGAGAGAGACAGTAAGTCCCTTTTGTGAGGTGGGAGCCCTCAGTTCCTAACTTTCTATGTCCAGAAGGGAGGGGAGGAAACCGGGATTCCCATTCCATTTGTTAAGTTAGGTTTAGGCTAAAATGAAAATTAACTTCTCTGGGACTTCTGCTCACCCCAGGCAGGAAAGAGAAGGTGGAGAAATCCCCCACCCCTGGAGCTGTCCTGGAAAAAGTAATAAGTGACTTACTGGTTTTCTCTCCTAGTGGGCAAGGGAACTGGAAGTAGAACTGTCTCCTTCTGAGCCTGGCGCTAGCTGGAGCCTCTCACTTCCCTATCGCTGCTCCAAGAACCAAGCATCTGCACTTGTATGCTCTTAACCTAATTTATGGTGGGAATTATATTTTGGCTTGTCAACTCTCAAGCCATAAAACAAAGTTTATTGGAATCACGTGCTCGTAAATAGCCACTCAGGTCTCATCTCTGCACAACCATAAATAACCTTCAGCTTTAAACTTTTATTCACTAAATAAAGGTTCACTGCAACTGTTCTCTCACATTTAAGTAGTTCCAAATATTCAGGATGCAAGG